AGCTGCGGCCCTCATTGACAGTGCGTTCCGGCTGTTTTTTTTTAGGCGCGCCTCAAATCTATGAATGACAGTTAACGACGTGTTTGCGTGAATTAATTTGACCGCCTCCAAAATGAAATAGTAGCTGGGCCTTTCACGGACACTATTAATTCATATCATTTAGTGATAAAAACGAATTCGCTGGCCTCTGTTTTGCTGCCCGGTTTTCATTACGCTGGAGCCAACGCTTGATCTTCAAAAACGATGGCTGCGCACTCAGAATTAGCATAAGAACCCCATGCAGATGAATGTCACCACGCATAGAACGCCTTTCTCATTTCAACAGCTTCAATGCCTTCAGACTCCACTTTGTGTTCGGTCCGTCCAATTTGCACAGTTGCTCTATGCTCGGTCCGTCCAATCTGCACAACTGCTCTATGCCAGCCAGCCCAAGACACAGTGGCATGTCCTGGTCTCCCGGCGCCGCAGCCGCAGTTGCAGCCGAGAGGCTCCAAATGATATGAACGACGCTGTCCGTGCAAAAGTGAAATGCATTTGCACAACAGTGCATGGTAATGAATAGCAGGTCCTTGAGCGGAAGTGATGCAATGTTTCCAAGAGAATGAGAAGGGATTTTGGTTCCCAAATATGGCTACCTGACGTAACGCGTTGGATTCAGAACAACCAGGCGCGTAAATTATTGCTTGGCAAATAAGTTACCCAGCAATCAACAGCCTCCTAGGATATTGTAAAAATGACTGCAGCGGCGTGTCTGTCGCTCTCTCTCGTCGGATGCTAGAAAGACAACCGATACCCAGCTGGTAAGAAGTCACAGACAAAAAGCCCCGTGTTCAAAGCCTACGTTGAGTCGGCCAAGCTAATAAGCTGATAAACTAAATGCATATTGTGTCGTGCCACGTGGTTTGCCGATTGCTACATTGCAACCGATATACATGTATATATATATATATATATATATATATATATATATATATATATATATATATATATAGGACAGCAGCGGCTGACAGGTAACCTACGTCTGCGATTGACATTTGCGAGCCCAATGGGGTCGCGTGACTGAGGCCGATCACAAATAGCATGAGCGATAGTGACGCGTTTTGTCTGTCCCCACGATGTGGCGATGCCGCCCGCTGCTCTATCCCTTCCGTGATGTTCGTTATGCGAGCCACAGAGCGGGCCGCTGAAGCGCCGCGGCTGGGCTCCTTACAGAAACGGAAACAGGCTGGCCACGAGTTTGATAGACGAGTCTAGCCAAGTAGTGCAGCCAACGGTTTCTACGTCCTATAAAGTCTTGTAAAGCTGCTCCTCGCGTGACAGCATGCAACCGGAACAACGAGAGCACGGACGTGCCTCTTGACTTGACAGCACCTGAGCATGCTGCGGCTCCTCTCACCGGTGCCGGGCTGGCATCCCGAGTGCCACGTCTGGCATGGAAAGCTATACCACCACTTTTCCAAAATCCATTTGCATTCCGACCGATGACGGGCATGCGGACGTGGCAGCAGCGGGGCGGGTTGTCCGGTCCCAGCGAAGAAAACCAGGCCTGCAGAACAGCGGCGGGGTGGGGCGCGGGTTCGCTCAGGCGTGGGGTACTGCCGCATTCTGTGGCTCCTACCTTTCACAAAGCTGCGTGCCGAATTCCATCATACCACTTTCAATAAGCCCAGCACCACACAAAAGATTGTTAAATATCTGGCGCCAATCCACTGATCATTTTTTTTTCATCAAAGAGGCTAGGCTCTGGTGGCGTCCCTGGTCAAAGTTTTCGTGCACAGTATGCCGTAAGTATTCCGCCGTGAATATTTCCGAGTGTAATGGTCTCAGGAGCGGCTGGTCAATCGGTGACGAGCCGGAGCCATGTTCGAAGAGTCCTTTCTTCGAAGACCGGCGCTTTAGAATGTCTACCAGCTTCTATTGAATACGCTGAATTATTTATTAACGGTAAATACATTGACATAGACGTGCACTCGGACTATCCACCATGAGCTCGAGTCTATTTAAGTCCATCATCACAGCACCAAGCCGAGCGCGTGTTAAAGCAAGGTGTCACTGGCTACAAATACAAACACACACACGCACGCACGCATACATGCATTCACGCGCGCACGCACGCTCCTCGCGTAACAGACCATAGCGCCAGACCACGCACGCACGCACGCACGCACACACGCACACGTTCGCGCATTCATACACAGCTCGCATCATTCCGTGGTCAGGGCGGACGTCGAAGTAGTATGTGGCGCTTCGGCGCACAGCCAGACCTCGCGCGGGGGAGTCGTGCCACGTCTCGGGAAGGCAGTGATACTGGGTGGCAGTTCGGCAGCACAGCCGTCTACTTCCCATATCAGTGCGACATAGGGACCAACAAATCTTCATTCTGCCGTGCATGACGATCTCGTGTTTGTGTTACTTTCCGGAACTCATGGGCCAGTGCTTCTGGCTGACCAGACCATAGCGCCTTGTTATGAAGGGCCAACGTGCGGTATTTGACGAGGCCGCCCGCACAGAGACAGCCGATTTTCTGCAGTAGATCCGAAGCGTGATCGAACTTTTTGCACGCAAAGATTGCTTTTGCTGCAAAATTGATAGCTTTTTGGATTTATTAGTGTCATTTTGGATTTATAGTTTATTAGTTGGATTTATTAGTGACATATTTTTAGTGTCATTCCCATAAATCAAAAAGCAGTATCGGTCCTCCGAGAGGACTAAGGCACTCACCGGCATAGAGACGGCACTTGGGCGCAAGCAGTTCCTCAGATGTCATAGACCAGAGAGGGTATGAAAGCGGTCGGTGCCGAAAGAAGCGTGGGAATTACAGCTGAGAGACGGATCACACGCTAGTCCTAGATTTTTCACCTCCGGGCAGGGGGCTAGCTTGTGTTCACGAAAGTTTGCAGTGAAGTCCGGAGGTCGTGCAGATTTTGTGGGCTTTCAAACAGCACTAACTGGATCTTCCTAACATTAATTTTACGACCGTTCGCGCGAAGCCAAGCATCGGGAGAGGCCAGGACGTGTTCCTGACGACCTTTTGGAAATTACGTTGTTTTGCCGTTCACTAGAATTTGGATGTTGTCCGCATACAGCGCAACGACTGCACGCTCCTCGAAGAGGCTAGGTCATTTGCAAAGATGCAGTAGAGCAGGGGGTCTAGTGCCCGCCCCTTAAAGACTTCCATGCTGTAAGGCAGCTTAGCAGGGAGTTTGCTGTTCCCGAAATGTTCAGATATTCTCGCGCTCTGAGTGTGGTTTGTGAAGTAAGCTGAAAACCAAGAAGTATCGATGTTGTGCAAGCAAGGTTTTATCAGTAATTTTGAGTGGTCTTTTACATCGAGGCATTTGCTTAAATCAAGCAAGCAGAGCGGTGACACGCCTCCGCGGTCGTTGGCAGTATGTGGTCGGATATACAAGCCAGCGTGGTTTCCGTGGAATGGCGTGGTCTGAAATCGTGGTGGTTTGAAAAATTCGTTTTTGGCCAATTGGTTTTGCACGGGCGGCCCGAAAATGTGCCTGATGACAAAGGCGACGGGTAGGCCCTCGAAACCGTGACCACATCTCGGCAAACAGGGATCGAGGAAATAGGAATTTGACACGCTTAGACAACTGGACGGGACATTGCGTAGTCCGTGTGCGGTCGCGCGTGTCAAGTGCATAGAAGCGGTCCAGATGGATTTGACATGTTTTATGATTTTCACGTTTTATGCTGCATGTCAGTTGCCAAAGCAGGTGGAGGCGCAATTCGAAGTGCAAAGTGTCGACCAATATACCGTCGTCAATTTATGCGTTCAACACGAGTTTATGCGACGCGCGGTTGTGCCAGCATTCGTTGGGGAAGACGGGAATGTCGGCATTTTGAAAAAACGGCACTGAATGCATCACGCTGTCGTGGAAACTGTAGCCAGAGTGGTGGCTTCATCACCGCGAGCACCGAACCATTGCCTGTATTTACCGTCCATTAATTTGTGACCGTGTGCACTGTCCCGTCCATGGATCACACTTACATGACTGGTCACGGCGCCACATTTTCGCGTCCTCAAAATGCCACCGGTTGATCGCCCAGTCGCTGGCGGTCAGTATTTAAGTAAAAAGACGAAACGCACACGCGCCGTATGTGGCCGGCGTCCAGCATCCGTCATTCGTTCTTTCGTTGTGGCGAATAAGACGAGCCATAATGATGATCAAATGCACAACCCAGACTCCTTGCGTTGAGAAATACCAGAGAAACCATTCACATCCATTGCGGAATAATACATAACGGGTACGATAAGAGAACCCGAGAAATGAAGTAAATTTTTAGCGGAGCTGAATGCTACGGCCAAAAGCAGTCCCATCGGTTTCCTGGGGTGTGTTTTGTAGTCACTAGTCTGACAACACAGAAACATTACAGCAGCATTGACGGGTGGCAGTGGCGAAATTGGGGAGATCTGACCCTGCAGTGGTTGCGAGTGTTTGTTTTGCAAGTCTTGGACTGAATAATGCATAATGCCGCTCCAACCACAGTGGACATCTGAAGGGCAAGATTTGAATGTACCTGGTAGTCGGCACACCACGCTCGGTTTCCGTCGGGCACCCCGGCAGCCAGCGTTCGGTTCGGCCAGAGCCATGCATTGTGTTGGATCATTCCGAAATAACGCAAACACAAGTTGTCCATAGACGCTCTGTCGCTTTGCGAAAAGAGCCCGCAAGCACTTGGAATTTTGAAGCAAGCACACGCAAACACCCAGTAAAATTTCACAGCACACATTATTACCACGTCGGCGCCATAGTACATTTGGATGCAGGCTGTTAAGGAATTCAGTGCACATTGCACACGAAGTGTATCTATAATCTTATACTGCAAGGTACCTACTGAACTACGTTACGCTCGTCTTCTTTTACCCTGAATTGGAGTCCCATGTCACGTCCGTTACAGAAAGCCACGACACCGTTTTTCAAAATTTATTTGGATTCCAACCTTGACGAGGACACACGAACAGGACAGCATCGGGGGGGGGGGGGGGGGGGCTCCCGGTCCCGACGAAAACCAGGCCTGCACGGCAGCGGCGGGGTGGGCGCGGGGGTGCTGCTTAGGATCGGGGACCAATCCAGCCAGCAGCTGATGGGGACAAGGGTGGTCATGGTGAGACGCCCCAGAGCGTGCAGCGGCCGACCCACACCGCGTCGCCGCAGGGCCGCACGCACCGGTCGGCTCCCCAGGGGGCCGCCGCAGGGCTCCTGGATCAGCACGCCCGCCCCGGCCCGGCCGCCGGCACATGACCGCGGCACGCCCACAAACGGAGACGGCGAGAGAAACGGCGACACCAGCAGTTACGAGGCAGAGTAAAACGCTGCCGGCCCGCCGACACCAGACGACAGCAGTCGTCAGGGAAATTACGGCACTTCATGATATGTAGTCGTTTCTGTCGGCGCTTGGCCACAGCCCGCAGTCAACAGCCCACAGGTGCCCATGGGTGCCACGGCACGTGCGCGTCACCAGCTGTGCCGGAGGAGGGTATCTGGGAACTTACAGCAAGAGGACCACCGAGGAATGAATGGAATGTTGCCATTGATTGTTGGAAATAGAACACACCAACGGAGCCTTAGTGTGACACGCACTGGCACGGCTTGGCATTGCTCCAGATTTTCTGTCCGTAACGCGACTTCAAAGCAGCAGCGCACATCGACTTATAACTCCCTATATACTTAAGACCAAAGCGAGCACGACTAAAAGCACTTTCCCATCCACAGACCACAGCTCGTCACTAGCTTGTCATGCAGACAAACGCTGCGCTACGGTGTTTCACAAGTGGACATAAAATGGCGACAACGGCCCTCGAACGGTTTTCTTTACAGAAAGGTAACTTAACATGGCCTGACTTAAAATAACCTGACACTTTGTACGCAACAGCTATTGCACGTAGATAAATGCCGTCACCTTCTCGAGTTCCGCGACCCCTCAGCACATCACACAAGTCACACTAAGTATTATGCCAACGGCACGCACCATGCTCCAGCCGCTGGTGACAAAAACACATATACCTGGGGAACCTAGACAAACTTCAGGGTGTTGCCCCTTTCAGGCCGGGTGGAAGTGCATACCTACGCCATCTGACGTCAATAACCTCCGCAGCCATAAAAGGTGGGGAGAGTGCAACGCTATCACATACACCACAACGCATATCAGCTGTTTTACAGCTCTGTTGACGAGGCAGCTACAGTGTCGCCATCAACCACACGTTCCAGCCAGCCAACGCGCTCGCCATTTGCCAAGTGTCTCCCGTCCAAAATCTCCCGCAAGGGATCACCGTAGCGGACACGCTAGCGGCACCACCTATACCAGCCGGCAGCGCCATCTACGCCGCCGCCGGGTGACACTGCGCTGCGCGCCGTTCGGGCCTACTTCAGATGCTGGCAGCGGTGCTGGAAGAGCAGGTCGATGACCGAAGAGTCGGCCATGGTGCTGACATCCCCCAGGTCGCGGTCGTTCTGCGCGATCTTGCGCAGCACGCGGCGCATGATCTTGCCGGAGCGTGTCTTGGGCAGGCCGGGCGCATACTGCAGGTAGTCGGGCGCGGCGAACGGCGCGATACGCTCCCGCACTGCGGGCACCCGGGCGCACGCAACGTCAGCGCAGGCGCCGCCCCGTCCAAGAACGGCACTGGCGGACGGTGGCGACGCACGCGGCGGTCGCGGCGCAGCGTTAGCATCATGCCGACTCCCCGCGATACGCACCTATGATGAGGATGATTTGGGCTTTAACGTTGGTCATATGGCGCCCATAATACGCACCTATATGAGTCCCTGGCATCAGGTCATGATCTGCACCCACGCACACCATCAACCTCCATCACCCAAGGTCATGGATGATGAGCGTTCCCAAGTAGCACTTGTTAGAATAAAGGCCGTCCAAAAACTACGTTACGCACTTTGACCACTCTTTTCCCCCCCATCGTTATGCACTAGTTAGGTTGGCAAAATTCCTCCCTCTGGTGACGTTGCATCGTGTTTAACGCAGCACCCCTAAAAGTAACGTCCGTTTGGCCCCTACTTCGGCTAGAGATGCGAAACAAGTAACGGGCATGTTGTTGGTCATGAGTGGAAGCGAGTAGTACCCGGCTTTACGAATGCAAACTATTTGTAATTTTCAACTTTTTAAGATTTCCGCGTGATTTGCAACGACACCCAAGCACAACGATACGCTGCCCCCACCCCTACGCACGACTTTGTCACGCTTCCGCTACCCTTAATCCCCCACCACGCTACAGGTAATTTACAGACGCTACCATATTTGGTATGCACAAAAGGTACAGGTAAGAAAACTGTCAATGCCACAGTCCGCTTTTGCCAACTAGGTGTAATGACAACACACATATTGAGCAGCCTTCCTCCACAACTGGGGACGCATCACCACCACACGCGCCGGCACGACCGACCTTTCAGTACGAGCTCCTTCTGCAGCTGCTCGGTCCACGGCCGGCCGTCCTTGGTGGTAACGAAGCAATAGACGCCCTCGCCTTTGACGCTGTGCGGCGCCGCCACGACGGCCGTCTCCGCCACGGCCGGGTGCTCGATCAGCGCCGACTCGATCTGGCGGCACGCAAGACACGTCACGTGCGCGAGCTGGCCGGCTGAGACAGACGCGAGCCGCCAACCAAGCGCAGACACGGCGCTGATAAGCCACGCGCCGGGAGATCAGCGCAGCCCGCCACGACCGGCGTTTCAGCTACACAAAGCGCGCTAGCGAGCACCAGCACATCTCCCAGCACCGTCCCCGCGTCGCTCCCAGTCACTCCACCCCGCAACGGCGCACGAGGGCGCGGCGGCGCGGTCACCTCACCTGCGCCGTCGAGATCAGGTGTCCGGACACGTTCAGCATGTCGTCTATCCGGCCCGTCACCCAGAGGTAGCCGTCGGCGTCGCGGCGCGCGCCGTCGCCCGTGCAGTAGAAGCCGTTGAACTTCTTGAAGTAGGTGGTCTCGAAGCGCTGGTGGTTGCCGTAGACGGTGCGCATGATGCCGGGCCAGGGCCGGCGGAACACCAGATAGCCCTCGCCCTCGCCGGCGATTTCGACGCCGTTCTCGTCCAGCAGCGCCGGCTGCACGCCGAAGAACGGCCGACACGCCGAGCCGGGCTTGGTGGGCGTGGCGCCCGGTAGCGGCGTCAGCACGTGACCGCCCGTCTCCGTCTGCCAGAAGGTATCGACGACGGCGCAGCGGCCGCCGCCCACCACGCGGTGGTACCACAGCCACGCCTCCGGGTTGATCGGTTCGCCGACCGAGCCAAGCACCTTCAGACTCTGGCGGCTGTGGCTGCGGGCGGCGGCAGCGCCGTGAGAGGCGGGCCTCGTGCTCAGCCGGGGGGTGGGGCAGGGCGAGGGGCAGACAGCGGATGGCCGGGCTCAGCGACGCTTGGTCCACTGGTTCGGGCTTCGTTACGAGCATGAATCGTGTATTGGGGACTTCAAAGTCCCTCGACCAGCCCTTGTAATGATGCAAAATTAGGTTTTTTTACCTCAATAATCTTGCTCACCAAAACAAAACTAACTGAAACAAAACAAAACAAAATCCCAGCCGCATAACTAGAGCGCAAAAACAAAAATTACTCAACGTCCAATATGCCATCTGAAACCGAGCTCACATAGGAAACCATACCGATAACCACGCTCATATAAACCATTCTGATATGCGACCAAGACAGCATATCAAACCCAACTCATGCTAGCACTCAAGTCTTAACGCTTTGATCTCTGTTCATGTTGTGATAATTGGCCAGGAGTCAAAATATCAGCAGCTCGCGCTAGTGCACAGCGAGTCCTTCACTTCAACTATTACCTGACAGCACAATCGAACACGGAACTGACCAAAGCCATGTCACAGCATATCGACGCGCAGCGGACCCCCGCGCGCAGCACGCGGGGGGAGGGGGAGGGGGAGGGGGAGCGGGTTCTCACCGCAGCACCAGGTCGTCGCCCAGTCGCATCAGGGCCCGGATGGCGGTCGGCGCCGTGTAGAACTTGGTGACGGCGTACTTGTCAATGATCTGCCACATGCGGTCGCCCGTCGGGTAGAAGGGCGTGCCCTCGAACTGGCGGCGCGGGCGGCGGCGGTCAGGGTCCGGTGACGGCGCGGCCCCGCCGCCAAGTCACGGCACGGTACAGCAGCGGCACACGCGGAGAGGGCGCGTCGCCAGGTGAGCAGGGCTGGACATTGTATGGTTGGAAGTCGAAACAGAATCAACGCATCACTCACTAGGTGGGAGGTGACAACAATTATCAGAAGATAACTAAAGATTGCAATATACATGCATCACATCGACTTGGGGTTATATCATTCATTACAGCGCGAAATTAAAGACATGCCAGCTTAACCGAGCGCGGGCCTTAGCCCAGTGGAAGCCACCGACAACATTCCAACAGAGCTTCGCACGGGCATAGCGACCCCGGCGGGAAATGACATCTGACCCACCCGACGCCGCGCACCGGCTTAACTGACCGCGACTGAGGAGCGTCTGGCACCGCAACCGGTGCTCTCACCATCACGGAGGTGGCTCCGTTCAGCATGGGGCCGTAGGTGACGTAGGAGTGTCCCGTGATCCAGCCGATGTCGGCCGTGCACCAGTACACGTCATCTGGGTGGTAGTCGAACGTGTACTTGAAGGTGGTGGCCACGTACAGCATGTAGCCGGCAGTCGTGTGTAGCACGCCCTTCGGCTTGCCCGTGGAGCCGCTGGTGGCCGCCAGGTGTCAAGTCAGGTCAGGTCAGGGCAGGGCAGGGCAGGGCAGGGCAGAGGAGCTGCCATCAGTTGAAGAACACACAGTCGAGATGAGCTCGTGTTAACGACCTCACTGTGCAGGGGGAAAGAAATTAAGTCAAATTCGTTTTGGCCTCGGTGTTGATGCGTAGGAAACAACAAGCCAACATTCTCGCCAGATATCCAAAGACTCGGTCATCTCATATCAACTCAGTGTGGTGTCGGTTGAGTCATCTCAGACACGTACATATAATATTTTAAGCAAATGACGTGCGGTCCGTGACCTACAAATTTTGGCTAGGGAAAAGATTGGTACACAGAAACGTTACACTTGGGTTCATCTACCATTCCTCCCTTACACGCCACCTGGCCGCAACCACCTCCGCTCAGTCTCTCGGAAGCGTGCACCCAGGCGCGCGGCAGCACGCCGCGTGCAGAGCCAGGTCGGTACAGCCGGGCCGTCTACCAGCGATCGCGAGCGGCGGCGCCGACCACCGGCACACGCAGGAGCACGGGTGTCCGGCGCCGTCCGGGTCTGCTCACCTGGTGTAGAGCACGGACAGCGGATGCTCGGTGTCCGGCGCCGTCCGGGTCTGCTCACCTGGTGTAGAGCACGGACAGCGGATGCTCGGTGTCCGTCGCCGTCCGGGTCTGTTCACCTGGTGTAGAGCATGGAGAGCGAGTGCTCGGTGTCCGGCGCCGTCCGGGTCTGCTCACCTGGTGTAGAGCATGAAGAGTGGGTGCTCGGCGTCCACCCACTGGACGTCGCAGCGCTCTGGCGCGTCGCTGACGGCGTCCTCCCACCAGACGTCTCGGTCGGCGTCCCAGCCGGCCTGCCGGACGCCACAAGCAGCGACCGTCGACATCCGGCTACGCAGCGCCGCTCGCGCCGCTCCCACCGCGCGTCACGACCGGACGGCAGGCTGCGCCCGCCGCCAGCGGGCCGACGTACTGACCTCACGTGATCACGTGCAGGCCGCGCACAGGCTCGCAGCGAGCCAGCCCTGGTCTTGTCGTTGCCGCTCTGCATCCCGACCTCCACCCATAGAACAGTGGGGTACACGTCCCGTATCCGACACTCTCAGCAGCGAGAAACTGGTCTATCACATCAAAGGACGGCGCGTAACCGGTGTATGCCACTGCAGTGGACCACTATGTGCATAGAGGCAGATGCAATGCATGTAGGTACAACAGACCACAAAGGCCCACACTCAGCTTGAAATCGAGTGACTAGGCACGACAAGAAGACGCGGCAGGGCCCCGGCACAGCAGGGCCTCAAGACGCGGCGGCGCGTGCGGGCCCACCTGGGGGTCGTACTGGGGCGTGGTCTGGGCGCTGTTCTGATCACCCACGGCAGTGCTGGGCGTCTGGTGATGGAGCCGCGGCAGGTGGCGCACCACCACCACCCGCTCCACGCGGTGTCCTCGCTCGGTACACAGCTCCAGTGCTGCAGAACAGCGGCCGAGGGTCAGGGGGACACGGCTCAAGTGCTGCAGAACAGCGGCCGAGGGTCAGGGGGACACGGCTCCAGCGCTGCAGGACAGCGGCCAAGGGTCAGGGGGACACGGCTCAAGTGCTGCAGAACAGCGGCCGAGGGTTAGGGGGACACGGCTCAAGTGCTGCAGAACAGCGGCCGAGGGTCAGGGGGACACGGCTCCAGCGCTGCAGGACAGCGGCCGAGGGTCAGGGGGACACGGCTCAAGTGCTGCAGAACAGCGGCCGAGGGTTAGGGGGACACGGCTCAAGCGCAGCAGAACAGCGGCCGAGGGTCAGGGGGACACGGCCCCAGCGCTGCAGGACAGCAGCCAAGGGTCAGGGGGACACGGCTCAAGTGCTGCAGAACAGCGGCCAAGGGTCAGGGGGACACGGCTCAAGTGCTGCAGGACAGCGGCCGAGGGTCAGGGGGACACGGCTCAAGCGCTGCAGGACAGCGGCCGAGGGTCAGGACACGGCCTCGGTGCAGTAAGATGAAATCTACAAGGACGGAGAGTCGATGTCATGATGCTCCTGCATTCAATTATTCGACAGCAACTGCATAGCATCAGTGTCGCACATCAACTGGCAGTGGCATTTCATAAACAAACTGCGACTTTACCGCACTATTATATCAAGATGCCCCTCGACATACTCCAAGTCAGTAGTGACAAAACTACCGACACACACCATTGGTCGAACCACAACTCTGCGTCCTTCACACAGGTGCCAGCCCGGCGGCACCCCAGCGCCGCCGGGCCCTGGCGCGTCCGGCCGCGGCGGCGGGCCGTACCGCGGTCGGTGATCTCCTTCAGCCTGATCAGCTTGTTACCACGCCAGACGCCGTCGGCGGTGAGCGCGATCCGACAGCGGGCGTCCAGGATCCGGTCGGCGAGCGCGTCGGCCGAGTAGCCGGCGAACTGGCGACACAGGGGGCCGGCCGACGGCATTAAAGGCTGACCAGACCACGGCCGGTCACCGCGCGCGCACGCACCACGCACACAGACGAGCGCCGCATGGTCGACTATTGCACACAGCGGACCGCTGCACACAGCTGACTGCTGCACACGGCTGACCGCTGCACACGGCCGACCGCTGCACACAGCTGACCGCTGCACACGGCTGACCGCTGCACACGGCTGACCGCTGCACACAGCGGACCGCTGCACACGGCCGACCGCTGCACTCAGCTGACCGCTGCACTCAGCTGACCGCCACACACGGCCGACCGCTGCACACAGCTGACCGCTACACTCAGCTGACCGCTACACACGGCTGACCGCTGCACACAGCTGACCGCCACACACGGCCGACCGCTGCACACAGCTGACCGCTACACTCAGCTGACCGCTACACACGGCTGACCGCTGCACACAGCTGACCGCTACACTCAGCTGACCGCTACACACGGCTGACCGCTGCACACAGCTGACCGCTGCACACGGCCGACCGCTGCACACAGCTGACCGCTGCACACAGCTGACCGCTACACACCGCTGACCGCTGCACTCAGCTGACCGCTACACACGGCTGACCGCTGCACACAGCGGACCGCTGCACACGGCCGACCGCTGCACACAGCTGACCGCTGCACTCAGCTGACCGCTGCACACGGCTGACCGCTGCACACGGCTGACCGCTGCACACAGCTGACCGCTGCACACGGCCGACCGCTGCACACGGCCGACCGCTGCACACAGCTGACCGCTGCACTCAGCTGACCGCTACACACGGCTGACCGCTGCACACAGCTGACTGCTGCACACGGCTGACCGCTACACACGGCTGACCGCTGCACACAGCTGACCGCTGCACACGGCTGACCGCTACACACGGCTGACCGCTGCACACGGCTGACCGCTGCACACAGCTGACCGCTGCACACGGCCGACCGCTGCACACGGCCGACCGCTGCACACAGCTGACCGCTGCACTCAGCTGACCGCTACACACGGCTGACCGCTGCACACAGCTGACTGCTGCACACGGCTGACCGCTACACACGGCTGACCGCTGCACACAGCTGACCGCTGCACACAGCTGACCACTGCACTCAGCTGACCGCTGCACACAAATGGCCAGAGTCGGCGACGCTACATGAGTGGGGAATGCCCCAAAGCTCAAACTATTTCCTTCAAAGATATTTTTGCCGGCGGCCCATTTCCTTTCAAATTAAAAACGTTCTCATGATATTTGCACTATAACATTTCCCTCGAGACGTTTCATTTAAACATGTCCAATAAAACTCACCTTATTAGCATGCCCGACACATCACACCTTCGCTGCTGCATTCTCTACTGCAACATCACTAACAACGCATGCACATCAAACTTCCAACTAAAATTGGACGGCACCACCGTACTTTTACTGGCGAGCAGCCTAGTCGCGGTCGCCGGGACGACCGGATGTTTAGCAACGTGACGGGTGATACGCGGCCACGCTACCGAGGCGCCGTGTGTGCGCCAGCTTTTACGGCGATAGCGGCAGATCCCGTGCCGCAACCACAAACACCGGAGCGTGTTACAGGCTGAGCGACCTGATGGGCGGCGTGGTGTGTCCAAATCAGACGTTCGCGACGGGTCAGTATTACTAACGAGCTGGAGTGGACGGTGAGCTGGACGGAAAAGCGGAGTCAAGTAAATTGCGGTGATCTGCTTTCGGCCGTAGGTCTTTAGGTAGGTCGTTACAAGACAAAACATAAACGTGCCGGCGTTAGTGGCGTGCGTGCACATTTCTGGGCATGACAGGCGGCTGGAGCAACGCCACCCAAGAGGTGGAGGTAGGGAGCGAGTCATCACGCACGAGACCAGGGCATGGCATCGGTCGCCAAGCCACACGCTCCTTTTTTCTGACGCCGAGTCTGAGGGCAGTGTTAACCTCTTCTGTCGTTCGGCGCAAATTCTGCCTGTCAGCGGCCACGCTTTTTACATGTAGAAACATAAACCACTCCCCAGGCAACACGATAAGGCGATTGATTTCCACTCGTCTTTTTCAGCGAAGGAGCACGCAAAGCGCCTGGCATCCAGCCGAGGACCGGGCGTGACCGGGCGGCCCGGTGCGAGGAGGGGAGAGGTCGGTCCCGACCGGACGGCGCCGCACTCCCGCCGGCGCCAAGGTCGGGCCGCTCAAACACGTCTGTTTGAACGGACCCGGCCGGCCGCCGCACAGCGTCGGGCCCGCTCCCGCAGGCCGGCGTCCGGTCTCAGCGGCGGGCATCCAGCGCGGCAGAGCGCGCGCTGGTGCCTGCGCCTGCCCCTCCTCCCGTGGCGACGGGCGACCGCAAACCGACCCCCCTCCTGAAGGAGGGGGGGGGGGGGGGGTTAGGGCGCATCGACTGCTGTAGGTCATCCAGCACCCACCTCCAGGCCGCAGCAGGGCGGACACAGCCGTACGTACGGCGGCCGGTCCGCGCGATACACCGTCGCGCGCTGCACCGCCCGCCCGCGGCCACACTCCCAGCTGAGGGACATGGCGCCACGCCCGACCCCGGCACCCCGGAGCACACGGCGGCTGTGGCGCCGCCCGCGCCACCGGCCGCTGACATGGCGGCCGTGACCGGCGGCCGGGCCACGCAGGCAACGGCGGGGGTGGACCGAGGTCATGACGCGGCCGCGACACCGCCCGCCGAGCCCGACTCGGGGCAAGGTGCACCCCGTGAGGGGACTTTGCTCCGCCGTTCAGCAGACAGCATGCGAGCTAGGCAAACAAGCTTACGTGACTCATCCGCAGTGATGGTATTCGTGAAGGGGGTCAGAGGGCCGTCCACCCGGCCCCTGACCTCGCCGCGGCCCACAGTCGCCCCACAGCCCGCACAGCTTCCCACCAGGGCGGACCTCCAGCCCAGCACGACAGCTGGGCAGCCAGCCACCCCGAGCAGCTAACGGTATCGAATGCAGGGCCGCTCACCACGATCGAGTGCACGGCGCCGATGCGCGCGCAGGCCAGCATCGCCACCAGCAGCTCCGGAATCATGGGCATGTAGATGGCGACACGATCGCCGCTGCGCACGCCGAGCCGATGCAACACGCCGCCGAATCGCTGCACGCGCGTCAGCAGCTGACTGTAGGTGAGGCGCGCCGTGTCGGCCGGCTCGTTGCCTTCCCTGGGGATGACGCGCCGGGTTAGAAACTTCGGCAGCGGGTCACGGCGAAACGGGGGCAACAGACGGGTCAGAGGCGTCGGCAGCGGGTCACGGTGAAACGGGGGCAGCAGACGGGTCAGAGGCGTCGGCAGCGAGTCACGGCGAAACGGGGGACAAGACGGGTCAGAGGCGTCGGCAGCGAGTCACGGCGAAACGGGGGCAACGGGTCATAGGCGTCGACAGCGGGTGACGGCGAAACGTGGGACACAGACGGGTCAGAGGCGTAGACAGCGGGTGACGGCGAAACGGGGGCAACAGACGGGTCAGAGGCGTAGACAGCGGGTGACGGCGAAACGGGGGCAACAGACGGGTCAGAGGCGTCGACAGCGGGTCACGGCGAGACGGGGGCAACAGACGGGCGGAAGGGGCAGACGGGCGGGTGGGGAGCGTCGCCAGTTCACTATCGTGCAGCTGCTGCAGGTTAGCGCTGATGGACATCGGTGCAGTGGCCTTTGATGAGTCACATCAGGTGTACCGGAAATCGATACACCTGTTGATCTTCGGAGCTGTATTTGCTGGGGTGGTGAAGAAGTCGGCACCACGGAGCTCTGGGCACGTTGGATCACATGTGAGGGCGAATATAGATGCATGTGTAGCGACACACCAGCGTGTCTGGTCTGTGCCACGTGAAATCGTCGCCCGGGTCGAGCCCAATGTGACCAGACCACCCATCCCATAATCCCAAAGCTTGGCATGGTATGACAAACAACACTGATAAGCGCCTGTAAAACTGATTAAATATCGAGTAGCATGCTGAACAAGCTGAGCTTTTACGAACCAGAGCGGGCGACAGAGCGGAGAGTTCGCAAGGTGACGTACAGTACAGAGGTACCGCTGACAGCATAAAACATGGGGAAGCACTTCGACGAAAACAATATAAGACAAGGCACACGATAGATTGTGTTAATATGATTTGATAAGACCAATGAACGGTCGTCCAGCATACTGATCGGCAGTGACGGCCGCGTCAACCTTGACCCGAGATTGGTGGGCGAAATAATCGTCACCCGGCCTGCTACTGATCAGTCACCGTCACACGACCTGCTACTGATCAGTCACCATCACACGGTCCGCTACCGATCAGCCACCGTCACACGGCCTGCTACTGATCCGCCACCGTCACACGGCCTGCTACTGATCAGCCACCGGCACACGGTCTGCTACCGATCAGCCACCGTCACCCGGTCCGCTACCGATCAGCCACCGTCACACGGCCCGCTACTGATCAGCCACCGTCACACGGCCTGCTACTGATCAGCCACCGTCACATGGTCCGCTACCGATCAGCCACCCCCACACAGTCCACGACTGATCAGCCACCGTTACACGGCCCGCTACTGATCAGTCATCGCCACACGGTCCATTACCGATCAGCCACCGTCACACGGTCCACTACTGATCAGCCACCGTCACACGGCCTGCTACTGATCAGCCACCGTCACATGGTCCGCTACCGATCAGCCACCCCCACACAGTCCACGACTGATCAGCCACCGTTACACGGCCCGCTACTGATCAGCCACCGTCACACGGCCTGCTACTGATCAGCCACCGTCACACGGCCTGCTACTGACCAGCTACCGCCACCCGGTCCGCTACCGATCAGCCACCGTCACACGGTCCACTACTGATCAGCCGCCGTCACACGGCCTGCTACCGATCAGCCACCGTCACATGGTCCGCTACCGATCAGCCACCCCCACACAGTCCACTACTGATCAGCCACCGTTACATGGCCTGCTACTGATCAGTCATCGTCACACGGTCCACTACTGATCAGCCACCGTCACACGGCCCGCTACTGATCAGCCACCGTCACACGGCCTGCTACTGCTCCGCCACCGTCACACGGCCTGCTACTGACCAGCTACCGCCACCCGGTCCGCTACCGATCAGCCACCGTCACACGACCCGCTACCAATCAGCCACCGCCACACAGCCCACTACTGATCGGCTGCGATCAATGGCACGCCGGCTCCGACGCTCTGTCAGTGCTGCGGATATACAGACAGGCACCGCGAGCCACGGCCGCCACATTACACCGCCGCCTCTCGCATCGCACCCGGTCATCGGCCATCAAACGGCCATCAAAGTAGGCACCGGATACACAGCTGACAGACGGCGCGTCGGCGTGTGGATTGTGCGTATCAGGCACTCAATCGCGGCCGCACCAGTCGATCCAGGACTGATGCCATTAGGTCCGAAACCCAGGTCGGATGCGGTTAGGTGATGGACGGCCTGGATAAGAGGGACAGCAGTGTGATCGGCCCGGTCAAGTGCGAGTAAATCGGGCAATCAGGTAAACAGTTATGTGACAGTTAGATGACCAACAGTTGGGTGACCGGGCGTCAGTTGTGGTTGAATGGGGGGCCCGCATCTGGCGTCAGTTGTGGTTATATGAGGGGCATATCAGGCATCACTTGTGCTTGGGTGAGGGACCGTATCAGGGGTCAGTTGTGATTAGGTGAGGGCCCACATCAGGCGCCAGTTGTGGTTAGATGTGGGACCCATATCTGGCGTCAGCTGTGGTTATAGGGCGGGCCATGGCGTCAGTTATGGTTAGATGTGGGACCCATATCTGGCGTCAGCTGTGGTTATAGGGCGGGCCATGGCGTCAGTTATGGTTAGATGTGGGACCCATATCTGGCGTCAGCTGTGGTTATGGGGCGGGCCATGGCGTCAGTTACGGTTAGGTGTTGGCCCATATAAATGTGGTCAGGTCAGGGGCCATGTCAACCGTCAGTTGTGCTTACATGAGGGGCCATACCAGGTGTCATTTGTGGGTAGGTTAAGGGCCACATCAGACGTCAGTTGTGTTTAGGTGAGGGGCGTCATCAAGCGCCGGCTGCAGTTATGAGAGGCAACATGTGGTGTCAGTTGTGGCCACACGAGAGACCCATATCCGGCGACAGCTGTGGTTATCTGAGAGGTTGAGACCAGGCGCCAGGTGCCGCTGCGTGACAGCCCCAGCCAGGTGTCCGACGTCATCAGATGACAGGCTCCAGTGAGGGATCAGGTGCCGTTAAGCAAGAGCTCCCCATCAGGCAGCAGGCGCGGCTAGATAACAGTTCAGCTGGGCTGCTCGCTTTACGCCCATTCGATTCCATTAACATTCATCGACAGCACCATGACTGCTGTTTTTTTCTGGCTGGGTTATCTTGTGACCTTATATTCCCTTCCTACCAAAACAAGCGAGCGTGTCCATCCATGCTCTAATGACCTGATCAATTTGATAGCACACAACAGACCAAGAGCGTGGTTGTCCGTTGGACCACGGCATTCCACGCCCTTTGGAGGGCGAGAGCAGCATTGCTCGTATCTTTTTTGCGGCCCACTGCGACGAGAGAATGTTACCTCCGTATGTTAGATTAACACAACGGAGTCACACGCGGGTGAAGTATTGCCGGCACGATGTAGAATTACGATCCAAATGTTATATTCACACACAAACATTCCTCAGAGCCCCATAATGGGTTGACATTTAGATGACTCGCATGCGCCAAACATACGCGTTGGCCCTGAATGCATCGGTCCTCTGCTCCCTGTTCTCCACGAGGTCAGACCATGAACGTGGTCTGACCTTCACAATGTGGTATTTTTTCAGCGCACTGTCGTCATGGCCCCGTGTCCATTACTTCACCACACCCCCAAACTATATGCGGTGTCAGCTGCTGTTGACGTCATGATATCGTACGATCGCCGCCGGCCGACGGCGTAACAGACGGCCACGGGACCGGGCCATGTGGCCAGGACGCCCTCTGGCGATATGCACGGGCGACGGAAATAGTCTGACGGCTTGCTTGCCTTTATCTAAGCAATGACTAAGCTCAGAAATGTGAGGGCTGCATTTGGTCTTCGCTCCGCCCACGGAGTGCTTCAATTTGCAGCGACCGCTCATTGTGATGGCATCAGGCGCAACAGACGCAAAGCCGCCTGTCGTACCTGATCGCAATCGGTAACCGCTCCGGAAAGAAAAGGCGTGAACGAGCCAGAAGAGCTCCCTGGTAAGCCCGGGAACACGTGGGTCGACCGCTCGCTGGTCCGAGGCTGCCGGCGCACGTGGGCCGCGCCCATCTGTCGTCCTCGCTGTCCGGCCGGGACCTTCTGCTTCCCATCAGGGCCGGGCGCTGGATGACGCGCCGTCACCATGGCGACGAGACGGCCCGAGACGACTGGCAACAGTTCTAGACCCATAGTGATAGCGTCCGATTGGGCGGCCTGCGATAAACCAGCGGCGCGACGTTCCTCGTCAGCACGCGCCGTATGACGAGGCCCGGTAGCCGACGACTGTTCGCACGCGCGGGGTCGGCGAAAATACAGACGCTTGGACGACGGAGAAACGTCATGCATAGTGATGGACCAAATCTCGAGGCCAGCGTGGCGGTAATGGCTGGCTGCCGGCGCCAGGTCCTCTTTGTACGCATGGAGCTCTGGTGGCAGAGACTAAGGAGTAACAGGGGAAGCTCGTCCCCACCCCCTATGTGAGGGCCTTTTTACGCGGCTAGACGTCGCTTCAAGAAGGTGCGTTTTGAGCCTACATTTACGTTTATGGTGGGTACTAAATCCGTTGAGTACCGTGGCAACTTAGCTGCCGAGGAAGCATATTTTTAGCATTTGTTTCAGTATTCATCCGATGACTTCGGTTACCGGCACCTCCACCCAAAACGCGGCGGAAGTAGAAAACCGAATACCAGAAGTTCCAAAACGCACGAACTTTATGTCACACCAGCGTCCAACCAACCGCGCTGGCCCGCTGCAATGTAGTAAGATGCAGTGCAAACTATTTCAATGGACGGACTTCAGGGATTAGCGTCCACACTAAGCAGTGCGAGTTGTACCAATCCTGACTCCACCATCCGGTCATGGGACTTCGGGTCAACGGCAACACTTTTTGGTGACACTCGACTGTGCCGTAATGTTGGGCACAGTCCCTCCTGCCCTCTAATGTCATCTGACATTTGGCACCGTCACTGCCACCGGCCATCACAATCTGGACAAATAGCGAGCGTTTTTAAGTGAGTTGAACCCACCAGCGCTTCCAACGACTCGAACCCATTCGCAACGGGTGGGCGAATCCGAATACAGGCGTTCTTACCGGCTGAGCCAGGTGTCGGGTCAAAGTAGTCAGACCAGATGACGTCCTACTCAAGGTTGGTCGTTACATGTCGTCCCTACCTCTTCCCTGTTCGGGACTGAGCGTCTGTCGTACAATATTCGAAAAAGTCACGATCTTTTCTAGGTTAGCCGTTTCCCGACATTACGAAATTAAACAGCGAGGCTTCGGCACGTTCTTTGGCGGCGCCTGACGTGCGCATGGCGAGAGCACCTACGATCTCGCCCAACATTAGGGACCACGGGACTGACAGGGGTAATACAGGGGTGGCACCATTTACACTCCCCCTCCAACGATTTTTACATTCTTACACTTGCTGTATGATAAAACAAGTAAGTGTTAAGTGCATGAGTATCGTCATTTGAAGGTCATGAGGGTTTTAATATGATGTGCCTGGCAGGGCTAGTGGTGTGTAAGGATTGATTACATGTTAAGAGATACAAGATTAGGCTATAAAACCAACCACACAGATGCGCTTAAAAACGGTGGATACAGGTCAGCTTTTGCACTTTTTAATTAGGTCCAGAGTGCTGGAAAAAGCATTGTCAAACTGACTGCTCATAAGCAGCCCCCCCCCCCCGCCCCCTTAATTACACTGCAAAACCAAGGGTAACTCTTCTGCACATCTGCACTAGCATGTTGCTCATTAGCAAACATCTCACCAATAGAAGGCGACCTGGTCCCCTCGTCCATTCTCGACGTGGCGGTCCAGACAGTTGTAGCACATGTTGGTCTTGGCACCCTTCATCCACTCGATAAAGATGCGGCCGCGAGACGCGTCAAAATTGAAGTCACAAAATGGGCCTGCTGGCTGCTCCTGCCAATAGAACTGCTCAGCAATCCTGCTCCAGAATGCCTCAGGCTCCTCAATGGACTGCTGGTAGAGCTTGTCATACTGCTGCATGGAGGAGCAGTGGGCCTCCTCTGCCACATGGGGTGGAGGCAGGTACACCTCATCGGTCAGCCCCTCCACATGGGTCGCCATCGCAGCCAACTGTGGGCAAAGCATTGCTAAGACAGTGACTCAGGTTACATACCACAAATATTTGCATGGATCAAATTGGGCTTTCAACATCTGCTAAGGAGGCTTGCCTGTGCTCTGAGGCCACCAATCACATAATGCCACTCCAGTTCAGCTGATAATTTTCATAACTTCTTGATACAAAGAATTGTAATAGGACAAATATAACAAACCTCAACATGCCATGCCTGCCCTGTGCTAGGCAGAGCCTCACTGGCTAATGGCCCATAAACATCTGTGTTTGCTTGGGCCAAACAGGGTGACCTCATGACTTACACCTTATACATACATGCATATGTATATACAATATATATATATATATATATATATATATATATATATATATATATATATATATATGATACATCTAACACATCTTAAAAAGGGCAAAACTTTGCATAAGCTATTAAATGCATTTGCAAGGAGCATTATGTACACACATAAGACAGGACTAATAGCCTTATTCTTCAGAGAAAAAGGAGAATGGAGATATAGAGCCAAACATTAATTAACACAGCACAACTTTTCAGTACAGAAAAATGAGAGTGGAAAGAGGTTGCTGCAATAGGAAAGGCAAGAAAGAGGCTGCCAATGCAATGTAATGAGAAAAGAGGCACCACAATGTGCCTACTTGGTAAACAAAACTAGCGCTTCTATACCTCACATATAGGCCAGGTGGGCAGCACTTGGCATTAAGTGATCCTCTAAAACCAGAAAGACACTAATTCCAACTGTTTTGGTAGCAAAGAAAGCAATACCACATGTGGATAGTGATGCAGTTACCTGCTGAGGCAAACAAGCCAAAATGATCAGATCAGAGAGTCATTCAGATGATTAAAGCACCCAGAATGATCAGTTCAGATGAGTCGTTTGAATGCATACTGGCATGGCTACCATGCCAGGTACCACAACTATACTACAACACAGATATGATGGTTTTTAGAATTATTTCATCATTAGCGCACCCTGTTCAGCCCGAACAAACAGTAATGTATTTCCAACCTCTCAGTCACTGAATAGCAGACCAAGCACAGACCATCCTTATCATAATTAATACAATTTGAGGTAAGATGATGAGATTTCCATGAAATGCTTCTATTTTATGATGATTTATGGTGTCTAATGTAAAAACATTGATTTAATAATTGACTATTACTGTAATGTACCAATGTATGCTATGACCTAAGCCTTATTTTACACCGTATTAAAGCCCTCTCACATATAAAACGGCTATTACCCAACCGTTACAACACCACTGGCACGCGCCCCACCTAAACAACTCACCGACCACTGCCTCCTTCCCGGCACCACTACCCCAGCTCACCGCAGCAGCATCAATGCTCGCGCAACTCGCGCATGACCCGCCCCTTCAGTCGAATGAACTATCCTTGCGCAGAGGTGAACAAGGCCATTCGTACCGATCAATAAGCCGTAGCTCTTTCCATAGTTGACCAATCATGCTGTCGAAAAAAACTTGAAGGAAACTCTTAGCCAATCAAAAATCGTCAATAATTTACGTCATCAACCAACTGACTGCTGTGAACACAGCGCAGGTCCTGATGTAAACAATGGTGCCATATGTGCCCGTTGTTCAAAGTTCCTTAATTATAGAGATTGAAAAAACTTCCAGATATGAATCGATTTGCATAGGAGTGGCATTCTGTGCAAATCCACTTCGTACTGGATTTAAGCAGAGGAGCTGTTCCGAGTAGATGCATTCATGAGTCGATTTACATCCGTCCCGCCATTCTGTTTAATTCCGCTCGCGACTGTATTTAAGTAGAGATGTTCTGTGCAGATGTACTCGTGATAGCAATAGATAGCAGATGATGACGTGATATACACAGGCGTCACTCTCTATAATCCCACTTGCGAGTGGGTCCAAACTGAGGGAATGTTTTGTGTAGATGTGCTCATGGCGTGATATGCACAGAACGCCATTCTGTGTGATTCCATTCGCGAGTCGATTTAACCAGCATGTTCTGTGCAGACGTACTTATGACGTGATATACACAGAACCGTCATTCTGTGTAATTCCACTTGCGTGTGGATTCACGCAGAGGACATGTTCTGTATGGATGCACTGGTGATGGGATACACACACGTGTGAATTACATCGTGATGTGATCCGCACGGGAGGCAGGGCCTGTTCAACGGAGCAAACTGGCAAACTGACCTATGACTTGCCGAAGTAAGGAAAAGATGTGATCTCAGCATCAAGCAAACGCACAAGCGCCTTGCGTTCGAGTGTGTGCATGTGTATGTGCCAGGAAAGGTAGATATTGAACTTGTCACATCGTTTGCAAAGCAAGCCATGCAACATCGCATGCTTATCCCACGGCGGTTTGCGGTGTGCTATTTTCGTCCAGTCTTGATAACGCGTGAAGAGTGCAAGGGGCTGGCAAAGGTCTCCTTGATGCCGAACCCCCCCCCCCCCCCTACACACCAATTCGCCAGCTTTGGCCAAATGGATTTTCACGGGCATTTTAAAGGCTTTTCTGGGCTCTGCAGAAATATTCATTACCCCGTGCACGCTGAGTGTACGTGGAAATAAGGTCAGCAATTTTTTACGTTGGCCAGCCCATGTGCGTCTGGTGATGTTCAGGGGAGCCATCAAAAAGTCCAGGATCGCAGCATCCAGTGTTCGTAACGTCCAGAAAACGTCCAATTCCGTGCCCATGGGGGGCGTTCGTAAGGTCCAGGGACGCAAAGTCCAGAGTCGCAAAGTCCAGAGTCGTTAAGTCCGGTGTTCAAAACGTCCAGTATCTATGGCAATCAGACTAGCTTGGATTCCTGCCGCTAAATGGCACCACAGAAGCATCTTTGAGTCCTGCCGCTAATCCCCTCTTTTGTCAACAGATGGCGCAGTCAACCTGGCATCCAACTGATGATTACGTGGTGCGTACAGTGGTGCTTGGAGGACCCCGTGCTGTTCCTGGGGCCCCATATAAGGTAACGCTCCGAGGCACTCGATGCTCAGGGACCCTCTTCATTCACCTACGGCTCTTTTCCTTTTTGAGCTGATTTTATGAGTACCATTCATTTGTCAGAGCTCTCTCTGTTAACCTGCCCGGGCACCCTTGGTCACACAGGGGCGTTCATTAATGAACACTGATCTTAGGCTAGTGCCCTTTGTTCAGGGTATCCTGTACTCCTGCCGAACCCTGTAAGTTAGCCTGCCGAGGTGCTCCCGATCGTTTAAGGGTCCCACCATATTGGTGTTGGGCTCTTCTCGCTTGCTACGAGGACCCTTCACTATTCATTGGAGCCTCTTTGTTGGCCTGCCACGGCAGTTTCGATTGTTCAGGTGCCGCCCTTATTGGTCTCGGGCTTTTCCATATTATAGGAGGGCCTGCACCATTGACGGGGACCTAAATGTTAGTTATTTTTATTGGGGCTTTACTTCTTATCGACTGGTGACTGAATTTGCGGCTATGGCGATTACGCCGATAAATTCGTTATTGTCACTGTCGAACATACTTTTACACGCTGCCGACGTCCTGCATTTTATTTCCATTGTTTCCTGAATTTGTGACGACTATTATACCTGTACGCTACGTTTTAATATATTTTTTAAGGATAGGACATTCTGTATTCCCTTGCAACAGACAAAGCAAAAACTCTGTATTAGTCCTCAGCCATCAGCCAATCCCATCAACTACGCGGCTAACCGTGTATACGCCAGGAATCAATCTCGTGCTTGATTTTGATGGTATTTAGCAGCCAATTTAAGTGCACGCTGCCATGTTTTCTTCGAAATCCTTAGCATTGAAATGACAGAATCTGCCATGATCCGACGAAGATGAACAAGCTCCATATATTTACACACAAAGCACGCCTAGTTTTCTAGGGCTGTGCGCAGTAAGCTAGGTTCCCGTAGACGAACTGCATACATACGAATATTAAAACTTATTAGCCGGAATACGACTATTTTTTGGTGGATACAGCCCTGAAGTTTAAAGAACTCACAAAGTAAGAGGACTTCTTTGGTTTTCTAGCATATTGAAAGCGTACGTGTGCAGAGATTTAGTTGCCGTGAAGTTTACTGCTTCCGATCACTCCGATATGGTGTCGTGCTAGTTCTGGCCGGTGCTTTTGACCGAATCGCACATAGCGTTTAATAATGATGTATATATATATATATATATATATATATATATATATATATATATATATATATATTTAGCATGTGTGTGTGTGTGTGTGTGTGTGTGTGTGTGTGTGTGTGTGTGTGTGTGTGTGTGTGCGTGTGTGTGTGTGTGTGTGTGTGTGTGTGTGTGTGTGTGTGTGTGTGTGTGTGTGTGTGTGTGTGTGTGTGTGTGTGTGTGTGTGTGTGTGTGCTTTTATGACGACAAAAACACGAAGCTCGCAGAACTTGCACGGTGTATGACTGGTGACCGACTCTTCTATATGTCTGGCTCTTCATTCCACTTCGGCACCCTAAACACTTTAAATCAGTACATAAAACACGAGCATGCAAACCAATAATAAACTTTTCACTGGACAGTACTAACTGCCGTTTTGACTTGGCAACAACAAACAATTCTTTAGCCGTGCAGAAGATATCATTAGCACCACACACTGTGAATAACACAAACAACACGGCAAAGTACAACACTGCATGCCAACCACCCAATTCCGCGCTATTAATCAGTGCCTTGTTCCTTGTCCAAGTGATTTACTTATAATGCTGCTCCAAAGAGATAGTTCAGTAGTTTGATTCATTTCTTTGTTTAGAAGTCGTTTGTGGTCATGACTGAATAATGCACTCAGAATGTTGAATTTTATTGCTGTGTGTAGATGATAAAATTGCAGTGTTTTGTGTAAGCCTTCGGCGCACTAGGAGAGGAGGAGAGTATTGTGGTCGGGCTGTACGTGATTCCTTGGAGCCCCCTCCGTGAGGTGATCTGTGAGACGGAAAAAATGTTGTAGTTACACCATTGTAGCATGCGGAGCCTTGTAGCAACACCTGGCAGCGGTCAACAGAAAGGTAAAAATGATCACATATCGAAATCGGTACGTTCCAACGCTTTATGAAGTCAATGGGTGTGCGTATAAACAGTGTCCCCTTGCCGGATGTTTCACTAGTGCAATTTTTAGATTGGTAGTCGTGACGGATTACGGCGACTCGCGATGGGAAGGCGCAATGACGTAATCTCTCTTGCTCGGAATGCTGCAACTGCTAAACCCGTTCAGAGATTCAACTGGTCAGCCAACTAAATTGCATTGGTAAGACGTTATGGTTAGCAGCTGAAGGCATTTCGCCCCATTCTGGTGTCCCCAGAGGCTTTAAGTCTAGTGATAACCCACAGGACCGGACGGAGACCCTCAGAAGGATGCATCACGACCGGTCCCCTCCTCGATGCGGCTGGCCCTCTAACTGAGACATCCAGCAGCGGATCGGCGCAGGGGCCTTCGCAGATGCAAACAGACTTTTTACTGGCACAGGAAGTCCAATAACTGGCATCGAGATACTAATTCGCCTCATCGGTCCGTGGTTGATATGGTGCAGAGGATCCCTCGTCCGGTTCTGGCGTCCCTGGCTGGCACAGGCCTTCCACTGTCTCATTGTACATGAGAATCCCCTTTTGTCATTTCTCATGAATCCTTTCATTGTCAGCAGGGTCCAGACCAGCACAACAGGTATGTGACATACTGGAGCCAATAATCGTCCCTATGCAGCAGATGTGCTCCCGGTTGGGGCCCATTGGCGACACATGGTCTCTAGGCTAGGAACTGTTGCTGTTAGTGGCTGTTGCTGTTGCTGTTGTTGCTGGTTAGTTGCTGGACACTGACCAGCAATATGGGTCCTTCATTGTTTCAGGTGCCCCGACGAATGTAGGATGCCTTCTAATTGGCATTTAGATATCTTGGCCTTGTCTCTGCTCAGAAAATAACCGCTACGCCCCAGAATAGCACGGAACGGGCTGTTTGATATGGCTGTTCTCAGTCAGTTGCTTCAAATAGAGACACAGTCGCACTGGTCTCCGATCAGTGCTAGAGCCAATCTTACATTTCAAGGTCCGGCCTTCAGGCTGTGGTTCCCCCATACGACCTCTGGCCTACCCTTCGGACCCTTTAATCGGGCTCTTGATTTTTGGCCCCAAGGGACCAAAAAAGGACCTTCGGAACCCATGGGGCCCTTGGAACCTAAGGGGAAGGTGGGGGGGGGGGGGGGGATCGTGCCTAATTCGGTTCCCCGCGAAAATAAAGCTTCGGGGGCCATTTTGAATGCCCCTGGAATCTCGCATCATCTTGAATGAATGTTTGGGCGGCTTGTGGTGTTCCAATTTAAACTGGGGGCTCATGAAAATGAATGTTATGATGCCCCGCAACCAAGGCTCTTGCTGCCTTTTCACCGAATGAGCCGAACCAGGATTTCAACAGTGTAAGGCAGGGCAATTGTAGTG